TGAATCTCCCGCGATCAGCTCGGCCAATGGCGGTTGATTCTTAGCGCGCCAATCATGGCTGTTTAGTTGGCCAATCAGGTTGCGGTCCATGTGGACCAATCAGGATTCAGGGTTTGGAGTATGCTAATACAGAACAGTTTAATTGTTCTTACTGTCAGAAAGTTTCTCCTTATTTCCAGGCTAAATCTCTCCTTCTTCAGTTTCCATCCATTATTCCTTGTCTGGCCTACAGGCGCTTTAGAAAATAGCTTGAGCTCTTTCTCTCTTTGGCAGCCCCTCAAATATTGGAAGACCGCTATCATGTCTCCCCTGGTTCTTCTCTTCACTAGACTAGCCATGCCCAGTTCCTGTAACCGTTCTTCGTATGTTTTAGTCTCCAGTCCCCTAATCATCCTGGTTGCTCTTCTCTGCACACTTTCTAGAGTCTCAACATCTTTTTTATAATGTGGTGACCAAAACTGGATGCAGTACTCTAGGTGTGGTCTTACTAAGGCTTTATACAGTGGTATTAGTACCTCCCTTAATTAGTCCCAATCAAGGAAAACAAGTACATAGAAGTGGGTGCAAAATATTCAGGAGATGTAGAAGATTGCCCAACCAAGGACTGACAATTAGAAACCACTGAAAGGCCAAAAGTACATGTAGAGCAGGGGTGTCAAACTTGATTTCATTGAGGGCCGCATCAGGGTTGTGTTTGAACTCAGGGAGCCAGGGTGTGCATGGCCGGGGGCATGGCCAGGGTGGGCATGGCCAGCTTGACATAACTCGTGTCGGGGATGGTGGCCTGAGTGCTTTGCCAGTGAAAACAGGCTCCCAATGTCCGTTTTCGGCAGGGATGGCCTCCTGCAACCCCCTGCCAGTGAAAACAGAGCTTGAGAGGGCCACATGTGGCCCTTGCAAGGTCTGTTTTTGGCCAGGATGGCCTTCTGCAACCCCCTGCCGGTGAAAACAGCACTGGCACAGGCACTGCAGGCCAGTCCTTCAATGTTTTCAGGGTGTCCCCGTGGGCTATATCTAAGCACCTTGCAGGCCACATCTGGCCCGTGGGCTTTGAGTTTGACACTCCTGGTGTAGAGGTAATTCTTAGCTTAAAGCCATTTGTTTAGTGACCATTTGAAGTTACAACTCTACTGAAAAAAGTGATTTATGACCATTTTTCATCCTTAACAATTGCTGCAGCATTCCCATGGTCACATAATCAAAATTTGGACACTTGGCAACTAGCATGTATTATGACGGTTGCAGTGTCCTAGGTAAAGAGGTGTGCACATGCGTCACCTCTCCTGCAGGAGCTGCATTGGTTGCTGATTTGCTTCCAGGTGCAATTCAAGATGCTGGTTGTCACCTTTAAAGCCCTTCATGGCTTGGTTCTGGGTTATCTGAGCAAACATCTCTTGCCGGTCACATCTACCTGACCCATTAGAGCAAGGAGGCAGGGAATGTTGCGGGTCCCACCCCTGAGGGAGATACACCTGGTGGGACCCAGAAGGGCCTTCTCCATGGTGGCTCCCTCTCTCTGGAATATCATTCCCCCAGAAATTAGAATGGCCCCCACTCTAGCACTCTTCCAGAAGGCACTGAAGACCTGGTTCTGCCAGCAGGCTTGGGAAACCCAGAGGCTCACGTGATCTGCTGTTTTTGGGGTGGGGGGTAGTTGGGGGTGATTTTTTTATTTTATTTTTTCCAGATTTTGTTCTATTGTACTTTATTAATTTATTTGATTCTTTTTGTTAGTTTTTGTTTTTTGTTTAAAATATGGTCTTACATTCTTTTCTTTTTTTTAAACAAGTTTTATTAATTTTTAAAACACACAAATTATCATTATTCATTACATGTTTAAACCTTTTTTCATTGTAAATTTAACAAGTCAGATAAATTATGATTCTGTTTTAAACCATTTCCATATAGCATACAAAAACCTCTTATTCAATTTCTCTTTACTTCTCTTTACTCTTATTCAATATCATTATTATTATTTCATCTATTTCTTTCTGACTTAATTACCATTATTCTCATTCTATATTTCTGCAAGCTTTTACTAATTCTCCCCCCCAAAAAAACATATACACACAACACACAAAACATAAAAAAAATCTTTTTGGAAAGTAACTTGGACCCAGGTATCTCTCTCTTCATGGACTTCAATTATCTTCATGCTCATCTTACATATCATTACTTATTTTATTTACCATTCTAAGTCTTCTATATTAACTTCTCCACAAATTTCACTCTTCTTAATTCTATCTTAATTAATCATCTTAGTTTGAATCATTATATTTGTATCTTTTGTCCATTTTTTATCGTCCCTTTGTCTCATTCCTTATAAAAAAGAAGAAAATAAGTTTCTCCTGAAATCATTAATCAGAGTATGATGCCTTTCTATCTACCCCCTAAATTAATCAAATTAACCTTTAAGATAACATCCAATACCCAATCCGATTTTGCTTGGTACATTCTATCTAACTAGTACATCCAAAATAATTAAATACATAATTAGACAATAAATCCAAATATTAAAAACAAATACTATAATAAAAATTTTATAATAACATCAATACCATAATCTTATTAAACTCTTTAATTAAAACAGTATTCTAAACCTCCCCTATTATTAAATTTTAAAGCCAATCATTATTAAACATTTTAACATTTTAATCTCTTATCAACTCTTAAACCATTACAATACTACCATCTCATCTTATGTACCTTGCAAAATCTTTTTGAAAAAATTATACTTTATCCATTATCCATAAAAAAATCCTTTTTTTCATTTAATTTCAAAACATTGTAGCTTTTCTCCACCTTTTCCCTTTCTTTCTTCTCCCAACAAACCTTTCTACCCCCCCTTCTTCTAGCCTCTGCCTAACTGGCTTCCCTTCTCTGTCGTGTTCCTTTTCCCTTTTGTTTACTATCATCATATTGATTTTGCACCTTATTTTTCCCTTTCTTAAATGTTTTTTTAGATCTTAAGTCCTTTAGTTCTCTTCTTTTCTCTCTTCCTTCTTTCTTGATCAAATTCTGAGATTCATTAAAAATGGCTCCTTCCTTTCTTTCTTGTTCCTCTGCTGTCTTCATCTGTTGTAATGTTTGTTGATAGTTAGTAAGCGCCATTTCTAAAAAAAGGAAAGCTTCTTCCACACCATCTTTACCATTTTTTTTTGCTTGTTCATATTCTTTTCTTAGTTCCTCAACAGAAAAAGCCATTATAAATCTTTTCTTTTCTTTTCCCCTTCTTTCTTCTTACAACAACCAGAATATTCCAAAGAAAATAAAGAAAATAAAACAGTCCCAAAGTTATCAGTCAGTCCAAACCAAGGCAGAGTTCTCACTTTCTCCTTCTGGGGTAATATCAATCAAAGAGAAAGAAAGTCCAAATCTGTTTAAAATCTTATTGCAATATATTCTAGTCTTCAAATCCTTAAGGCATCTCCTCCAACAAAGTCTTAGCATACAAATATTTTCTTTTTAATCCTCTCTCTTCCCACTCATCGCTTAAAACCAATTTTCACCTAAAAAAAAATAGGTTTCTTAATATCCAGTTATTTATTCCGTAGGAAAAGAGGGTAAGCTATCCTTTCAGCACCATCAAACTGCCGCTTTTTTCCTCTTCTGGCAGGTATTATTTAGAAAGTCATACTTTTCAGGAATTTTATTAAATATGTCTTAGAGTCCTAGGAGCCAAGAAAAACTTTCTCCTTTCAAGCACTTTCTCCACTTCCTCCTGCGCATTCTTACCCGGCTGCCAGCTTCTTTGTGGCGGCCATTACAGACCGCCGCTGCACCGTCCTGGGAAAAGGGGGTTCTACCGGCCAGGGAGGGGGTCTGCAACACCCCCAAACCCCTCTCCGGATCCCCCCTACCTTCAGCTGCCCCTGCAGGGCAGCCTAGCTCCGTACCCGTCTGGGTCGGAGCCCCAAAAGCGGCTAGCGCGGCAGGGATCGCGCAGCTTCGCAAATCCCTGCCGCTCGCGAAGCCGACAAACCGGAAGTTTCCAAAATATGGTCTTACATTCTGTAAGCCGCCTCAAGTCGCCATGGGCGAATAGATGACAATATAAATTCAACAAATAAGTAAATAAAAAATAAATATCACCTTTTGTGACCTTCTGAGAACCAAAGTCAATGAGGAAGCCAGATTCACTTAACAACCACATTACTAACTTAACAATTGCAGTGATTAGCTTAAAAACTGTGGCAAGAATGGTCATAAAAGGGGGCAAAACTCACTGAACCACTGTCTTGCTTAGCTGAATTTGGACTCAATTGTAGTCATAAGTTGAAGGCTACCTGTATGTGTCCACATCCACTGCAGCCTGAATGCTTTTAGGAAGAAACTTAACAGGCAGTATAATACCAAAATTTATGTTTGCCATTCAGTACGTCCTCCTGGGATATTGCCAGAGGAAGTTATATACAGAAATCCATACCAATCACCAGTAATTAAACCAATAATTAAACTCAAAGAAGGCTTTATTTTTTAAGTGAAGGTAATTTTCCCCGTAGGGTTTCGGTATCATTTACAGAGAGGGGGGGGGGGGGGGGAGCGCGAGCATGAATTCTGGGAAATTCTAAAGTCCTTTTTTCTGATGGATCTGCAAAACAAATTGTGCAATCTGATCCCCCAAGTGGTGAATTTTATGCAATCTGCTCCCGAAGAAGTGAAGTCTGTCCGCTTTTAAAGCGTGCCTCCCAAAAGCATCTGTAACCAGCTCGTTTACTTCTAGGTTAAAAGGTGCGCAAGAGACAAATAGACAAATAGAAACAGCTTTCCTCCTTTAAGCTTTGCTTTTCTCAGCCCGCTTTTTTCAGGAGGGGAACGATCGCTCCACCTACTCAGGGGGCGACGGGGATCGACTGGGAAGGACGACGCCTCCTGGATCGCCCCTAGAAAGGGGTGGTCCGGGATCTTCGCGCGCGCGCGCCGAAGAAGTTAGTTCCTGCTACTCGGGGTCCACCTCCTCCTCTTTCTCCTCCCCCGGCGGAAGGCGGGGAGGGCGGGGGACCGTGGAGGGCGTCCTGGGTTGGCTGTCCGAGGGAACTCGCGCCCCGGGAGTGTCGCGCAAAGTTTGTAGCCACGTGGGTTAGCACGCGGAAGGAGGAGGGTCCCGTGGGTTTTTTGAACCCCTGCCTGACACCATCGGAGCCTCTCTCAGCGCAAGAACTGCTGTTGTCAGGACATTCGCCATGCCTTCCGCGGAGATCATCAGTGGGAAAACCGTTTCCGCGTAAGTTCCCTCCATCGTCTCGGTGCACAGATTTGGGGTTGGAGATTCACGCTGACATCGGTATCTGTTTCTGCAAAGAAAAAGAAAAAAAGGGGGGGGGGGTTAGGGTTAGGAGATTTTCCAGATTCGGCAGGGCGGCAACATCGTAAGCATGTCATGTGGTATACCTGGGTTGTTGTCCAGTACATAGGTATGATGAAGAATGTGCTCCTCAGAACGATAAAATCGATCCTAAGAACCCTAACGTTACAGTCCAGTCGAACACAGTGTGATCTTCCATTAATCTCTACTTAGAGGTAAACCCCATTGAATTCAATGAGATTGGGGCGTGCATAAGTGCACCATCCTGCCTCCCGTCCCTGTCCTATTGTCCCCATTTAATCGTACCTATTTTCTGTATTCTTACTCATGTTTATACTTACACCTATTATGTTGTAAGCGATTGACAAATCAAATAAATAAATCAAATAAATAAATAAAATTGCCTGCAGATGTTTCTCAAAAAGAGGGTGTGGGGATCAGCACTTGCTTGGAGTCCCTGCATTCACTCTGCTTTATCAGAGACAAGTTGGGTTTTGCTCCTCCAACAGCCAACCTGTTCGCAATATTATTGTGCGGATGACTGTCTCGAAGGCACATTAAGAGATTTGTCCCTATGGAACAGTTAGTTGGGAGGAAGCTCAACTACGGTAGTCACATTGACTTTTTTGTGCATATCATGTCACTGTTTGCTTAATTGTGGCCTGTTGAATAACTATTAGAATTATCACAGTGCTCTGCACCAGAATCCAACCACTTTACAGTTTACAATAATGATTGAACCCAACCAACATTGCTTTTGAGAAAATGTGGGTCAGCTTTGGCTTCTCTTCCTACTGAGGCATACACATACGGTACAGGGACATGAAAAATTGTTTTTCACACCTTAATCATTTCTAGCCTAGCATTAGCTACTCTGCTTTAGTAAGCTTGAGTTGTTCACTCTCTTGAGCTCAGACTCTAGAATGTCTTAGACAGCTCTTTTTTCTCACCTGCTCTTTGCAAACAGAATCATGCTGGATCTTTTATGTACAGAATTTGAGAAGGCGGAGTATTAGGGCACATGCAAGCACCCCCTACCTATCTGTGAAGTTAGTTAAAGGACCCTCAGTTGGCTGTGTTCTCACAAAACACTGAACCATAAACTAGGCAACACATTTAAGTGATGTGTCATCCTAGCCTGCTTTGGGTTCATGGTTCAGTATGTTGTCATTTGATAAAATTGTGTGTGTGTGTGTGTGTAGGGAGAGGATCATGCATTACTCTAATATATGGTCTATCAAAATCACAATATGTCACTTTGATTATACAAGTGACTTCTCTGAGGATTCCTCCTTTTTTTCCCTTCTGTAAAAATGCTCTAGAAAGAAAAGTAACTGAAGCAGTATTGAAATTACAAGGTAACTAATTTGCTCCTCCATTCTCCTGTGAGTAGAACCACAGTAAGGGAGGCAGGATTTCAACAGGCGCTTCAATCTTGGTATTTGGGACAATTGCATCCAGTTTGTATTAAAGGAACATTAAAGGAAAAGGGTGGAGTGAAAGTGTCATGGGATTAAAGGAAAAATTGGTAATAAATCATGCCTAGATTTGCATATAACTATAAGAGTTCTAATAAGAAAGCATGCTTTTTATTTGTATATGTGTGTGTGTGCATTGTGGTCAGTGCCATCTTGGAAGAGTTGTCATCGGCAGTGATTGGTTGGGCAAAAGGGCTTCATAGAAAATCACAGCACAAGATTTTAATGTTAAATTGTCCCTAAATCCAGAAAGATTTGCACAGGAGATAATGAACTGACAGATGACCTGCCTGGTAGTAGAAACAGGCCTGTTTTTTCTTTCATTCTGTGCCTTTAATGGTTGGGCAGTTAGCCATTGCCTACTCTCTGACTCCAAATTGTGATTCTGCCCCTCCTCTGTTTCTTGGAAGAGAATTTCTAATTATTGTGCAAGTTTGTTCTATTACACTGATTGCTTGCATAAGCAGGTTCTGGCAGGAGTTAACCTATATAGGTTTTGCTGTGGTGCTAAACTGCCAGGTTCACAGAATTTTGATGCTTTCCTTTCAGATTATAATTGCCAGAAAATGCAGAACAAGGTCCATTTAAAGAAAGAAAACTGCAGCTGTCCAAGTTGGATGTCAGGGATGCATAGCTTATTTCATTTGGATGCTATACTTGATCGCTCAATAACAAAATGAATATACCTGGGAGTAGACGTCACATTGTAGGTGGCAATTCTTGACAGGCCTTAGTTGTTCTCAAAAAAGCTAAACTAAACAAGTTAATATTTAGGTGGGAGAGCACCAGGAAATCCAAGGGCTATGGGTTGCACTGGAAGTTGAAAAACCATCTGGAAGAATGTAGTAGCAACCTCTTCTGCTTTCTTGCCAAGAAACAGATAGGTATGTGATGGAAATCAGTTTAAAAATAATAATAATCTGGTAGCGTCTGTGCTGCTGTATGCATACAGACTGTTTTGTTTTTGTGCCTCCAAATCAGTATCGATTCCTAGATGATTGCCTGAACAAGTCCACGCAGTGTTCCTGGCAAGATCTTTCAGAAATAACTTGCCATTGCCTCCTACCTGGGCTGAGGGAGGGGACTAGTTCAGGGTCACCCAGCTGGCCTCATGACTAAGGCAGTATTAGTTCATTCAGGCTCCTTCCTCAGTTACCCACTATGCAGAGTTGCTCTCAGATGTGCATATAAACAAAATGGACTTTTAAAAGTATGTGTTCTGCATTCTCTCAAAATGTCTCAATAGCACATTTCTATGCATTGTAGGTGTATCATTTTTTTATTGTTTTCAAAAGGAAGCCTTTCCAGCCCAGGTCAATTCCCATAAAGATGGTGCTTAATTTCTAGATAAATGCCATTTAATCATGGACATCATGGGTGCTATCATACTCATGGGTGCCACTAAGTGTTGGACTAAGTTTTAAAACTGTGGGAAAGGTGAGCCTATCGGGTCTTTTTCTAAGCGTATCTTTGATTTGCTATCTTTCTTTATTGCTTATTAACTCAGAGTTCCATGATTGATTAACGTTTTATATCTTGATCCTGAAATTACACATATGATACAAAATGTTTGCTGTCTTTTGAAATCCATTCATTGTTTTAATACAGAGGTGGGGAATCTATTTCTTTATGTTGAATTCCCAAATCTGTTGGCTGCGTTGGCTTGGCCGAAGTGAATTCAGACCAGCAACATCAGGCAGGCTGCAAATTTCAGATCTCTGCTTTCAAAGTCATCTGTATAGGTGTCTGGTTGGCAAAGGTCCCAGTTTTGTTTTAAATAAATCACACTAAAAAGAAATACATCAAGGGAAGCTGCTTTGTCACTTCAGGCAGCACATTTTCTGCACGCAAACAGACATATTGTTAAGAAAACCGATTCTGCTACTTTGGGGCTTCTTGTATTTTGACTAGGATTACTAAGTTTCCAGGGATTTTTTTCCTACCTTATAGAAGAAGTACAATTTTCCACAATTGGGAAAAATCTATAATATTATCCAATTTCAGTTTTATCTAAAATGGAATCATTTTATCCTGTAAGGCTGTGATGGCATGCAGAGCCACTTCTGCTGGCACATGAGAGGTCACCCGGAAGAGCCCCTCTGCGCATGATTGTTGGGTATCTGCTGCGCAGAGACGTGCACACATGTGCAGAGGCATACGGCTGCAGGAGGTCCATGGGGGGAGCCATGCGTGCATTGCATCATGGATGCAGGCATGCACTTTTGGCAGGGGTGGGATTCGACAGGGTTAACTACCGGTTCGGGGTTTAAGAGGTTCGGTGATTTATGATGTGCTTCTCTGCACGCTGCGGTAAATTGTCACCTGTAAATCGTCATCAGCACGCTGCGTGCAGAGAAGCAGCCTATGAAACAGCCTTCTTGTCCTGCTTTTTTAACTGCAGCTGTGCCTCGTTCAGCAGCTGAAGTTGAAAAATCAGTAAATAAAGATCAGGTAAGAGCCCGGGTGGGCGTGTGCGCAAAAACATCAGCAGACATAGAACCGGTTCTATGTCTGCTGCTCTTCAGAGCTATTGGTTCTACAGAGGTGGACAGAACTGGTAGAAACCCACCCCTGACTTTTAGCACACAATGTGGAAAAGATTAGTCATCACTGATGTAAGGTCTACCTGCCAATGTGATGCTGTTTGGTGCTCTTGTTTGTTTCTTTGTTTATATTCTACCTTTTATTATTTTTACAAATAATTCATACTCCACGATCTTTCCTTTTCCTGGCTCCCATGTAGATTCATTTATTCATTCAAAACTGGAAGCTAACATGTCCCAGACCATCAACTGCATGAATATTGTCAGAATTTTTTTTTAGAAAACAAATGATGATGGGTTGAGTACAGTTCAGTGCTTTGTGTAGAAGCGTGCTTGCCTTTTTCACTGAAAAAACAAATGTAAATTGAGCTAATAAAGAATATTCTCAGAGACCAGAAAAATGGTGCATTTTTGCCTTTTAGTAAAGTGGGTAACTCTGGTCAGGTTGCCAAGAACATATTCTCTGCATTCTAGATATGCTCACAATCCTATAAATTGGGATTCTGATGCTGGTTTTCCCTCAGTGCATCAATTATAGAAAACTCCTATTATTTTTCAGTATTAGGTTACTGAAAAAATAAGACTCCACCTATTGTGCTAAACCATAATTTGTTTGTGATTTATTAAATAATATATTGTAATGGACTAGAATCACATACCCCACCAAACATTAAACCATTCTTTGCAATATTTCGATTCGGGCAAATCAGTCCATAATCAGTTGGATTATATGAAACCATTCATCTATTGCCTTATTTGTTTGAATGGGCTTTCATAGATCAAACATACTCTAGAGAATTTTTATATTGCCAGATGCTGCATCAAATCCAGGTGTTTTTTTCATAGGAATTATAGAGCGAAAAGATCTCATGTGGCCCTCTGTTACATCTTCTTCATT